CGCTATTCCCGACGCATGTCGCGCTCGCAAGCCTCAAGAAGTATCCAACCACCTGCGAAGAGAGACCCAAGAAGTCAAAATCGCCTAATTCGGATGGGAAGGCGTACATGTTTACCTCATGCGACATTCCGGCCTTCACGACGTTGCCGACGGTCCTAAAGAGGCCCCCGAGACCGCGTCAAGACGGCTCAGGAGGCTCCCGAAACGACCCCAAAACGGCCCCAGAAGGCGCCAAACCAGCCCAAGAAGTGCCCAAGCCGGCCCAAGAGGGTTCCAAGGCAGGCCCAGGAGAGGCCCGAGAGGGGGGGGGCCGAACCGACAATCCCAGCCTTTGCCCTCTCGAGGTTCTCAAGAGGCTCCAAGCAGCCCCCAAAAGACCCCAACAGGCCCCCAATGAGCCCCCAAGAGGCCCCCAGAAAGAAAGCCCCCAAGAGGCCCCAAAACGACCCCCAAGAGGCTTCCCCGGGTCCCTTGTTCAATCCCCTGAGCCTCAGTGCTCAAGCCTGGGGATTATGAATGGGTCCGGAACCCAAGCTCTCAAATCCCTCGGGGCTCCCCGCGCGCCCTCTGGGGCCCCAAAAAGGTTCCCGCACGACTTGCTCGAGCCCGAGAGAGGCGCAAGACGGGCCAACGGGGCCCCGAGAGGCCTTCGAGATGGCCCAGGAAAGCCCCAATCACCGAACGATCGGCCCAAGACGCCCAAGTTGCCCCAAGACGGCCCGAGAAGCTTTCGAAACGCCCCAAGTGCCCCACGAGACTCCCCAAGGGGACCCCGAGAGGCAAAAATCATTCATTTCCTGTGAAATGTGAATGTGCATGTGTGGGGGGGAGGGAGGGTTCTCTTCACTCCAAGTTTCCGACGCCCCCGTGTTCTCACTTTTGGGCCCTCCCGCCCGCGCCCCTGAGGATTCAGTTCGCATCATCAACGTCAACACCACCGTCATCACTATCAGCATCAATGTGGGCACGCGCTATCATCATCGCAACCGCCATCACCATCGCCAGCATCACAATCCTGAATCTCGTCGTCGTCATCACCATCTTCATGCTCTTCACCATGGCCAATGCCAGGATCGACATCATCATGATGATCATCGTCATCATCAACAGCATCCTCATCATCATCCTCCTCATCATCATCATCAGCATCATCATCTGGGGCGCCCCGGATCGGCGGCACTGGCCAGAGACTAGCACAATGTGAGGTGGCCCGAAATCGTGATCCTTCGTGCCTTTCACGTGCTCGACGTGATTCGCCGTCTACTCCTGCGTAACGAGCACGATTGGACTGTTCTCTGGCAAGGGCCAGACATCGCACGCCACGGCCTGCAGCTCTCGAACTTGCCGGGCGCTCCTGAGCGACTGAAGGGCGAGAAGGCCGAGAATAGTCTCCTCGCCTGTCTTGAGCGACTTCACGTCGCGAAGGCCCTGCTCAGTCTGGGCCTTGTGCCCCCCCCCCCCTGGCGGCGGGGTCGGACGCCCCGCTGGTGGCCGGCCGCCGCGCCGCCCTTGGCAGCCAAGGTCCCCGGCGCGTACCCGCCCTTGCGAACGTCGTAGATAAGCGAAGCGAGACAGCGATTGTCGCGGCAGAGGAAGTGGAAGATGAACCAAACGAATGCGCTGGTAGAGTTCGCTAGGCGAGCCCAAAAGAGCAACGTAACATAAATCGCGTTGAAGTATCTGGCAAGTTCAACTCCTACTTCATACGCGCCCGTCATAGCTGACATCGCCCCTGCGCGCGTGCCCGCTGAAAGCAATGCTGCGGGCGGTCGACGTCTTTGAATATGGACCAGCAGTTTGGGCGCTGATTTGCAATGGCCCCCGAAATAAGGATGCAGCGAATGCCGCGTTGATCGGCGATGAGCTTCTGGAGCGTGGGGCAGCCCATGGCGCATGGCGTACCATCCTTCGATAAAAGTATACATCTGTATGGTTCGTCATGTGCTTCGTGCTGTTGAACGTGCGTATGGCCAAATGACTGATCGCGTAGCTTAGTGCTCGTAAATGCTGCTGCTCTCAAGTTACTGGAATCCACCGAAAGACACTCGCGCGCTAAAACCGAGTTATAATCAAACAGCTCGTTCCAGGAATCGCTGGCGGTGTTCCAAATATCGAACAAAAGGTGTCCGTGCCGCTAATACCTCGAGACAGCTCCAGATCAAATGCAACTGCCGAACCCACGGGTTGGCTGTACTGCTCAGTTGACCAGTATAAATAAGAATAGGTGGCCCATTGAGAATTCGTTTGATGGTGTGATGTGGGGGTGTCGAGCCATGTCTGGCAACCATCTCGCACGACGCACGGCAAGCTCCCACGAGTTCGGCGGGACTCGCCATTCCCGACGACGCATGGGAGCCAGACCAGTTCGTAGCCGAGACCTTCATGATAACACGCAGGTAGCGTACAACTACAGTGTCTAGCCTAGCATGTTCACGCTGCGAAAGTACAGATGCCTCGAGGCCTGTGAGGCCTTTTCTTCTCAACTATTGTACTCAAGAAAATTCTAGTTTTGCTCGTCAGAGTCCCCGTTCATGCCAGAATAATCCCATCACGCCCCATCCTGCCCTTATTTCCTTGACACGCAGCTCGATCGCTGCCCCGTTATTCCCCATCATGTCGTATCGTACTCCGAGCTTGCGCGCATGTGCTCGAACCTCCCCGTGACGTCTAGGACATCGATCCTGCAGCCTGCGATTCGCAATAGTAGAGGCATAATGTCCTTATTCCCCATATTCTGGACGAAATTCTGATGACCGGAAATCTCATTCATCGTACTGCCACTCTCGGCGATGTTAAATATAAATTGGTCCGTCGAAAGATCTCGATGGAGAAATCGTTTACGGAAGATAGCATCGGCGAAGACTGATCATGAGCAGTCAATCGTCTCACGAGCGAGTACTTTACAATGTGCTGGTATGTATGTGTGCATGTGGCGCGCGCGGACAGCCTCGACGGCGTGGTGGAAGACGCCCTCGGATTGCCTCGGCATGTCATAGGATCCCTGGAAGCCCCCGTTTTTGGTCAATAAGTAAAGAAGTAGTGTCTGTCCGCACCTAGCTGGACACGAACCACGCCATTTCCAGCCTCCGTTCAGCAAAGACCTGCAGGTCCTCCCGTACCACTTGCTGGCTCAGTGACTGGATCAATGCAAGACTGGAGCACGTAAACGCGTTACTCAAATCATGAAGTTCATGTAGATGAGGTACATACTGGGATTGAAATGCATGGCCAACTCTCTGCTGGACCAGAATCGCCCCCTCTCGTCGCCCATGCCTCCGAAACCCATGCCACCATCCAGGGAAACTGGAATCGTACTGTTTTGCCGCTTCGCCCCAAGAGTAGATGACCGAGTGCCAGGGCTTCCAAAAGGTACCCAGCACATGAATCACATGAGCGCTTTTAATCATGGCCTGGCCGTTACATTTGTCCAACCACACGCCTTCCGTCGTATGTTTTTTGTGGAAAACTGCTCTACCTGTTGGGCATAACTGATGATTTCCGTGAACTCACGACGTGCACGTAGAAGAGAGGAGGAGGACGCAAGACGATTAACACAACCATCCTTTGCACGTTCCTCTCGCTCCCGGGCAACAACTGATCCCAGGTGGGGTGGCTCCAAAAGCCACCCTCGACGTCCAGAAGTAGTAATACCATAATGCATTCTAGGCTCCTCTTTCCCCATCTGGCCAACTGCAGGAAAGAGTCCATCATCACTGTCTCCCCTTCCAGAGAAGCCCAAACCATGCCTAGGCGAGGACACCCCCCATTCATCATTTACATCATCTAATCTATCATAGCCTAGACCGAATCGTTGAAAGCGTGTACGAGAGAGACGTCCAGGATCCAATAGAATTAAGCAATTTCGACTGGAAGGCTCAAACGAACTGTAGCTCGTCGTTTCTTGGCCCGCCTGAGCGTGTGCACTAGCCGGCAGACGGAGGCGTCAGCTACGAGTTCCATATGTGTTGATGGTGTGAGTGTTCCAGCTGGGGGTGGTACTGCCAGCCAGTCTTCAAGCTGCTTGTGGTAATCTGATAGATAGGTAGCTTCCATGCCCCCAACAACACCCGTAGCTTTCAGAGAGTCGTGACGCTCATCATAGTCGGGCGTGAAACCCGCGATGTGGTTGTGTTTCCGAATGTATACACCTGTAGTTCGGCCTGCTAAAGCGCGGGCTAGACTATGCACCTCAGCCTGATGTCCGAACTGTCGAGCTCCAAGGAGGCAATCCACCTTTTCCTCACGCTTGCGAGCCCTCGTGCGTCTGAAGAGGCGTCGTAGCGGATAGCTAGTCTGCTTTATACGTCGACAGTGGTCGAGGCATGCGTCAGTAACATCTGGCATGTGGCCGTATGTCTCCCAGTATGCGTGCAGCCCATCTGTGCTCTCGGCGTTCTTTAAGTGGACGCAGGCGCTCACGACGAAGTACCGTAGAGACATGATTCGGAGGCTTGGGTCGCAATTCAGAGCGTTTTCGCGCAACCTTCTGAGCAATACGAATACATACATCAGAATGTCGATCGGTGTGCCCATCATCCCGAGACGAGTCGAAAAAACCTCCGTGGCTGCCTCAACAGCCCATTCCAGATCACGATGCAACTCGAAGCGGCGGCGAACCCCCGACGAGAGCGAGTCAGAAAGCTTCTGCAAGTCCCACCTGAAGAACTCTGGGTCATGCACGCAGAGGAGGGAGTGGAGGATATAGGGCAAACAAACCACCCCCATAAGAACCACCCCGACAAGCAAGCCCGTTTAGTAAACGCACCCAAAGAAGGCATCGAACAGGGCAAGGCTGTTTAGTAAACGCCAAAGGCCGTTTAGTAAACGCCAAATATCGGGTCTGGGTGGTTCGTCTTCCCTTGAGAGGAGGAATGAGAAGGGAGTGGAATGGGAGGGAGTGGAGGATGAGGAAGCAAGGCGAGAGGAGGACGAAGATGACGAAGATGCCGAACCATTGCTATCCGTACTGATGTCCGCTGCCCCGAGTCGGAAGGGCTCGCCTCACGATGTAGGGGTGCTTCAAGGAGGCAAGGACCTTCCCGCGCGTTCGCTGGGGACCACGACACGATCACTCCCTCTAATCCTCCTCCTCCAACTGCTCCTCCATATTTGGAGGGATAGAAGAAGTGGGCCACGACAAAAACCGAACGCGGAACCATCGATGCCGATCTGAGTCATCTTCAATGATTCTTGCGAATTGGGGATGGTTGGTATGGACCGTGACCAAGATTCGCGTGGGCACGATCCCGCGACATCTTGGTCGTGGTCACCGTGCCTCTTCCCCCACACATTCCTCCAAACCCTTCCTCTCGCAAGCTGGCAGCCCCCCGCTTGCGAGAACTCGGGGGCCAGCTTGGCAGCGGCGATGCCCCGGGGGAATCGCGCGCGGGCCGCGCGGGTCTCCGACGTGGGGGGAGGTGGGGCCGGAGGAACCTGCGTGTCTTTCGGCGTGGAGTGCGGGGAGAGCCCACTGGCGTCGAAGCAGATTGGGCATGCGCGGAGGAGGGGGGACGCCCTGACAGCCAGCGGCGGGGCGCGCCAAACGGCCGGGGCGCACATGTCCTCACGACTTTCCCTAACAAAACGTGGCCATGACCGACATGCCAGAATTCCGCGTACCGCGTATCCGTCGGTCGGAATGAGTGGGTAGGACCATTCAGTAGGAAGGCCATGAAAGCAAATCGGGCTTCACCCCACTCCCTAAAAGGTAAGGCTATGGGAATCACAATCGATAAAGGCACGGTGGCGATGTATTTGCCATAGGTGTTGGACGGATTTGGGCGGTGTCACCCTTTCGGGTTTCCGACTGACCGAGATGGCCCAAGAGGCCCCCGAGATCACCCTAAGACGGCCCAAGAGGCTCCCAAGAGGGCCCCCAGACGGACCCATGAGGGCCTCAAGAAGCACAAGAAACCCCAAGAGGGGCCCCAGAGTGGGCCCCAGAGTGGGAACGTGAATCAACATGTTAAGCCCTCCGCGCCAAGATAGCCCCTGAGACCGCCAGCAGGACCCCAAGAGCCCCCCCAGCAGCTCCAGGAGGCCCCCAAGAAATACAAATCAGCCCCTGGGAGGCCTCCAAGAGGCCCCCGAGAGGCCCTCAAGACATCCCAAACACCACCTTCAAGAGGCTTTCAAGAAGCCTCCCAAGGAGATTCCCACATGCATCCAGTATTTCTGTCCATCGCAAATGTTTCGTAAGAAGGAGGGGCACGAGGGATGGGACGATCGCGCCAAGCAATCACGTACACGATTGCCCACTGCTCAGTCCAATCGGCTGCGCCCCTGAGTCGACACTCTCAGGCCTGATGCCACGCGCCTCACCCCCCGCTGCTTTCCCCTGGCAAGCGGCCCCTCCTGCTCGCCCTCCTCATCTTTGTCATGTTATTCCCTCCTCCTTGGCCTCGCTGGGCACTGGGCCCCACAAGTCAAGGGCAAAAACTGAGGGGGCGGAGGTGGGCGACAGCGACGCGAGGGATGCGGGGGGGGGAAGATGGGGGGAGGGACGGGGAGAGATGAGGCCGAAGAGGGGGGGAGGAAGAAGGAGGCGGAAAGGCAAGGAGGAAAAGGAGGAAGTAGGCGGCAGGAAGAGGTCGGAGGAGGAGGAGGAGGGACGGACAACGCAGCAATGCCACCACCTCCATCGTCTTCCTTGGATGGTGTCGCCTTGACCCTTGGGATTGCCTTCTGGCTTCGGCTTCGACCAGGAGTCCAGGAGGGCGTGGTAGTCCCAGGGTGGCCCTGCTAAGGGCGTGCAGTGGTGAATACTGCTGCGTTCAATGCGATGACGACGCCGACAGCGGCGACTCCAGATCGCGTCGCGACGACGTGCGCGCTGGTTTCTGACGCTGTTTGGATCGTTCAACCCGTTCGGCCGTTCCGCAGCATTCCGATCGTCAGGACATTCAACTTCGGCTGACTCAGCGGCGGTCTATCCTCGAACATCCGCTCTGGGATCGGCGCCACGTCGACACGACGTAAACTTCACGATTGCTAGTTTCTGCTGCCCCAGTAGATCGAGCTACAGCCCTGCGGAGTCTAGCGAACCGAAGGCTTCCCAGTCGCTGTGCGGCGCACAGCGTGTGCGCGAAATCCGCGTGCCAGTCAGGGGGGCTGGCCGAACTATCTACGAGACCCTGCGTTTCTTGCCGCCCCTGCGCTCCTTGTCCTTGAAAATCTCGCCCAGCGAGTCGAATGGGTCGCTGGCCTCCGGGCGCGTCCTCTGCACCTCCAAGTCCCCAGCGATTGCCTTCGGCTTCGGGCAAGTGTCGCCGGACCGCACGCAGAGGAGAACGCAGCAGAGCACCGCGCCAATCACTGGGGCCTGAGTGATGCCACCTGCTGCGACCACCATGTCTTCGCGGTAGCGCTGCGGAGCGTCATTGTCTCCCACCAGCCTCCCATAGTTGCGCGTCCTCACGCAATCTCCACCAGGATTGCTCAGCTCGTTGAGCATGGGGAAGCCCTGGCACACCAGCATCTCGTGGCCCGTGATCCACCTCTCGATTCCCTTCGCACTGCTCTCCACGAAATGCAGGGCTGGATTGGCGATGAGCGGATGCAAGATCCCGTCCTCGCTGCTCTTAATGCCGTAGACGCGTTCCTCACTGTAGATTGAGCATCGCCGCGCGCCAGCCAGCGATGCCCTTCAGCGTGTACTCGTCCCGGAACTTGAGCTCGCCGAGCGTCAGTGCATCGTAGTATGGCTCCGACGGCGTGTTGATCAAGTCGTGCACGGTGTCGCACTTGCGCTGCGCCCTCGAAGTGGGTCGGTTGGACACCCATGCCAGCTCGTCGGCCAAGTTGCCTCCCAAGCGACCGTTCCTACCCGCCACCAAGAAATCCAGGAACGTACGCGTTGACTTCCGAACCCTGTGGAACAACGTGAGCACGTTCTTCATGCTGAGCACCACCCCGGTGACGAACTCCGGGCGACTGTCGTTGCGCTGCCTGGAAGATGACGGCATCGCGAAGATGCCCTCGTCTTCCAGGACAGCGAATCGTTGGGGAAATCTGGAAACCTGGAGTACCTTGAAGACCAAGAGCCCTCCTGGGGCCGGGGCTCTCTGGGAGTCTCCTCGGCGCTCGCGGTTAGGGCTCTTGCGGTCTATTTGGACCATTCAGGGTCTTAGGCCGAGTTTTGCTGACCATAACTGCGTAGATCCCGTCGCGCTTCCCTGCCCGGCCGAAGAACGGCCCGCCCAACTTGAAACATTCGATGGCCCGCCCAACTTCAAGGCGATGGGCGTCTGCTCCCTGAACCTGTCCAAGTTCTCGAAGACGACCGCCTTGGGCTTCGTATACCGCGCAGTCCCAGCCCAGGCTCCAGAGGCGCTCACGTGATCATCGGACTCCAGGGCTTCCCGCTTGCCGAAATTTGAGAAGGGCTTGCAGGAGGCGCCTGCCACGCGAATGTCAACGCACTCCATGATGCAATCTTTGTTGCACTCGCTGCGCTTCGCCTTCGCGTTCGCGGCCCGATCGCTGAAAGTGAGCGTTGTTGAGTTGCAGCGTGGGGAAGGCAACGAGACGACGGAATTATTTCACTATGCGGCCTGGCGAGGCCACGGGCGACTACTAACACGCCCTGCCCAGATCGACGCAGGAGCCCCGAGATTTCAGAGGATGCGTTTCAGCACTTCCAGGACGCCAACATGAGAAAGACAAGGTACAGCCTTCGAAACGATCCGACCAGGATAAACACAGGAACACATTCCCCCACCTTGCAAGTCAAGCCGGCCTTCTGGCCCTCCGATTTCAGACGATTGATCGTCGCTTTGATCTCCACGTTCCAGAAGTCCTCGTAGTCGCTGAAAATTCACTTCGGCGCCTGCGGTGACAGCCGCAGCTCTGCCTTCTTCTCGTAATCGATCTCCACAGCGTACTCTATGGTCGGCATGATAGCGCTGCCCCCCTGATCGGGCACCTGCCCATGCGGGTTGCGATTCTTGAAGTACTGCAGCAATTGGCAACTCAGCATGGCCATCGCAGTCCCTGGAGCGCCCGCGCCCGCCCAACCGAGGGCGACCTTGGTGATGGTCATGTTGTGCACGAATATGGTCAAGGCTGCGCCAATGCCTTCAACTACGCGCGCTTGGATCCCGCCCTCCTGGTTCGCATGCCGGAGCGCCTCGTTGAGGCCGATTGACGCGTCCGCCGCGCCGAAGCATTCCATCGGCCACTGGGGCATCTCCCGCGCGTCCTTGACCTCAGGGCATGGGCCGCCGTACTCGACGTTCCTGCCGCCACCGCGCTCGCCCTCCTTTGGCGACCCGGACCCGCTCCACTTGATCGGCCTCAAGTTCTGCGCCTCCACTCGCGCGGCCAAGTCTGACCGCGACGATCCTGCTGCGGCGCCTACGGGGCTGGCCCCATCTCCTGCTGAGTCATTCTCCTCGTGCTGCACGGCCTCAAGAATATCTTTCGAGGTCGCCGATCGCCCTAGCTGCGGGCCTTGTCTCGCTGATGCTGCTGCTGATGTTGCATCGTCTGATGATGGCGCTGCTGGCGATGGGGCTGATGCGGCTGCTGATGGGGAAGCCGACGCAAACGAACTTGCAACAGCCGCGGAAGAAAGTGAGCCTGATGCCGCGGCGTCGACCGAGCCGTCGGCAAGGGCTGGCCTCTCTGGCGCATGTGACGGCATGAAGACATCCGGGGCGATCTGCACGCAAGGCTCGGCGGTGCCATTGTCGAAGATGACGTGCACCTGCGGCGAAAGATGGAGGGGGGAGGAGGGGGGGGGCGAGGGAAAAATTGAGAAGGCCCGGGGAGGAAAGTCTGGTGTCTCCGAGAAATCCAAGTCTTCATGTCTCAGAAGTCCTCTGGACTCCTCTCGCTTAGGTCCTCCAACTGCCTCCTCTCCGATTCATCACCTAATCCTCGTTCCTGGGCGCCTTGTTCGTGGTCGTGCCAGCGCGCGTGATCGCCATCGGGGCTATTCCCGCGGACTGGCGCAGCTCGATCATGTAAAGCTGTTGGCCAACGCCAGCGAAGCTCTCCATCTCGACAGCATATTTATATATATGCATATATGTA